TATGTATTTGAGATTCTGTGACCATCCTGCCAAGAACGTTCATCCTAGAACATATCATAGATCTAAAAAGTGACCCAGAAGCTTTTTACTGTCTACGTTCAGATCCCTCTGTGCCCTCCAACAGACCAATTTGCTTTCCCACAGTTTAGTCTAACAGGAATGTCCCAATTAACCCCCCTCCACTCCACTATTACCCTTTAGAAGGTCTGTGAAAGGGTTACTGGTTGACCTTCCTTTTTTTTGAGAGAGAGAGAGAGAAAGAGTATGTGCGAAAGTCAAAGCAGGGGAGGGGTAGGGGGGTGGGAGGCACAGAGAATCTCAAGCAGGTTTCATGCTGACAGCAGCCAGCCTGATGAGGGGCTCAAACTCATGAACCCTGAGACCATGACCTGAGCCAAAGTCAGACACTCAACTGACTGAGCCATCCAGGTGCTCCTGGTTGACCTTCCATTGTAATGGTCGTCAGCCCAAGACAGATTCCAAATACAACACGGGGAAGGACCAGTCTGCCTTCCGATTCTGGTAGGTCTCCCACTCAGCATGATCTCAGAATTGTCTAGTGAGGAGCTGGGCCCAGCTCGCTTTGCCCACCCCGCCTCCAGCCCTGCAGCTTGGTAAGGCAGCATTGCTCTGGAAATGCTCTGCACCAGAGCACAGATCTGCCCTTGTAGCTGAGCTGGAGAGAGGTCTTCAAGGTGGGAGTTAGAAATATTGGCTTGGGGACATCTGGGTGGCTCAGTCGATTAAGCATCCTACTCTTGGTTTCAGCTCGGGCCATGATCTTACTGTTCATGAGATCGAGCCCGGTGTCCAGCTCTGTACTGACAGTGGAATTCTCTTTCTCCCTCTCTCTGTCCCTCCCCCACTCATTCTCTTTCTCGCTCTCTCTCTTTCTCAAAAATAAATAAATAAACTTAAAAAACAACATTTAAAAAAGAAAAAAGGAAGAAAGAAAAAGAAGAGGAAAAAAAGGAAAGAAGAAAAAAAAAGAGAGGAAAAGAAAAGAAAAGAAAAGAAAAGAAAAGAAAAGAAAAGAAAAGAAAAGAAAAGAAAAAAAAGAAAGACATACTAGCTTGTAGTATGCTCCCAGCCAGGGCAGAAAGACAAGTAGAACAATGCAGGGTTTCCACTGGTAGCTACCAACCTCCCCCTCTCCTTGCTTTCCCTGGCCATTTGGTGTGTAGGTATCCCCCACTTTTCAAAAGTTCACCTTACACCACTTGGCTTTTATGAAAGTCTTAGACCTGGAAGAAATAGGCAGAGGATTTCTGCTTTTCCCAAAGAAAGGGCAGAAAGCAAAAATAGCATTCAGTATTGGTTTTGCAGTGAGCTGCTAGAAAGTCATTGCACACCCTAAGCAGCAATAGTGGTGCCCCCAAACTCCTTCCCCGGGGAACTACACCCAGCATCTCAGCATCAAGCAGCCACAGCTTCAAACTGTATCTGTGAGCATCTGTGCTTTGTCTCTATTTATTTTGGGCATCCATTAGCAGGACATTTCTTAAGGTATCAGAAAAACCTAAGAGAGGTGATTTGGGGGTAGATGGGGCGGGGCATCTGGGAGTCTGGGAGTCCTCACATGTTTTTCCCATATAAATTAATGGTAATTGCTTCTTTGCTTAATGCCTTTGCTCTCAGCTTGAGAAAGGTTTCATAGGAACACTCTACTTTCAGACAGCAGGGAAAACCCATACTTGAAAATATTTATCTTTGGCTCTGAATTTTACTGTGATGCTATCGGAGTCCAAGCATTGTGATTTGGTGAGTGCCTTGAATTTATTAAAGCGGATCTTGTTTCTACACATTTACAAGATGTTAGATGCTATTATACACTGGAGACAAGTTCAGAGGTCAAAGGTCAGGAGGTACTAGGAAGTTATTGTCAAGACTGCTCCACCCTCAAGAGAAGGGAGCTGTTCACGAGACTTTAGGATAAAAGGAGAACATCTGGAGTATCAGTAATTAAGTCTGAAATGTGGTTCAACAGGAAGTGACAAGTCTGTCCTCAGAGATCTTTTCAAAGTAGGACAGTCTCCATAGTTTAAATATCTATCGCTGGGTCTGGAGCTAGGTCTCATGGGATTTTTTAACTCCTTGGGTTCCTTTAGGGCCCTTGGGGGATGGCCTTGCATACACAGACAACAATTACAGAATTTAATCACAGTGGGACGTTTTTAGTTATCTTGGGAACTTTAAGACCTTTCTAAATCAGGTTTCATGGTTAAAATACAATTTAGCTGAGTTCATGTGACAAAGATAACGCCCCCGCACCGTTTAAACTAAAAAATACACGGCTTTGCAGTCCACTTGCATTTTCTGTGTTATCTTTGAAATAACTGTACAATGGGGAATAACTTCCTTTTTTCTACCCATCAATGATTTCGCCTTCTGCATAGGAGTTAATTCTTACAGAGTGATGGCTTTTGATTTTCAGCTTCCCCATTTCTACTTGGAGTTTCTATCTGAAATACAGAAAAACTTCAACTTGACTATCCTGAAACATTTTAAAGCCTCCCCCTCACCTCCCTTCTCTTTATAGGAAATGTAAAAGCCCCTGATTTGGAATATTAGGTTATTTGTTCCAACAGGAACAATAAAAGGTGGGGAAGGTTAACTTCAAGTAAGGAGGGTAATGCCTCGTTGTCTTTGAGTGGATGTCCTGGGCTCCCCACCCTTCCCTAGAACTTGCAGAAATGAGGAGGTCTGGTGGCCTGTGACAGTGTGGGTTCATACAAACTGTTATAATTAGCCTTGTTCCCCAGAGAAAGGGACTCCTTGCCCCCCCCCAGGCGGGGGGTAATGTCTTAAGTTTGAAAATCTAATCAGACTGGGCTTTAATTTCCAAAGGAAGGAGTTGTGGGCTGCCCACCCCCAGCCAGCCACCCTGCAGGCAGGGGCAAGGTGGCCTCTGGGCATTAGAGCAACCAAGCTTTCTGACCTCTGGGGTGGCCTAGCAGCTAGAGTCCAGTGGCAAGAATAAAATTGTCAAATGCAAGAAGCTTTCATAATCTCACTATTTAACACTACTTGAGATGGTTTTTGTTGTTGTTGTTGTTGTTTTGTTGTTGTTTTTCTCTAGATGTCAACACTGTGGCTGGGGCACAGGGGAAGTGGGCAGGTGAGGGTGGGGTCTGTTTGCCATATCTTATACCCCTTTCTGTTTTCTGAAATCCTATGCCTTATCTTTAGGATTAAGAATGCCTCAGTGGGCAGGTGCCTGGGTGGCTCGGTTGAGCATCAGACTTCATTCGGCTCAGGTCATGATCTCACTCATGATCTCATGAGTTTGAGCCTGGCTTCAGGCTCTCTGCTGTCAGCATGGAGCCTGCTTCGGATCCTCTGTCCCTGTCTCTCTCTGCCCCTCCCCCATTTGCGCTCTCTCTTTCAAAAATAAATAAAACATTAAAAAAAAAAAAAAAAAAAAAAGGAATTCCCTGGTGGGATTTCAGGTCTATTTCTAGGTCGGAGTGATCATTCTATCTCCCGAATGGCCAAAGGTTGGAGGGATAGCACAGGTTTTTAAACTTTCTTATGGCTTTTGTTTCTGCTTTAGCTTGACCTTCCTCTTGGGCCCAGGAAAGGCTCTGCATCTGGCACAGCGGGGGGCCTGCTGACCTGTAAACACAGACAGGAAAATTTGGGAGAAGGCAGTGAAAGAAGTCAGCATCTCTAAATCAATTTATGATGCATGCAAATCAGTTTTCAAATATTTACAGAGTCTCTGAGGGAATTACATCACTGTTTATAACTGTTTTGATTGTTTTTTATGACTCAGGCCCTGTAGAGCCAAGCGATGTAATTCCTGAGAGATGCTGAGACTACGCTGCGAGCCTCCCCTCCTGAGCGGAAAGTCGGGGTGTAATGAGAAAAGCGCTCCCCTTAATAGACGGAGCTTGGCTGAGCACTGGGGGATTATTAATGTGCTGCTGGGTGGCAGGAGATCTTTCCTCAGTTTACAAGTGGTGGGGGCGGTAGGGGCAACCGTGGTAGCCCAGAATGGGCGGGAGCGCCTGGCCTGGATGTGGCAGGGCACGTGCAGGTGCGAGCTTTGTGTCTGCCTCCTCTGGGGAGTCTTAGAAGATTCTGGTGGAAATAAGCCATGAATGATTGGGGTTTGATGCTTGTCCTCAGATCCCATCCCATATGGCAAAACTTCCCTGACTTCATAAAGAGAACTGTCATCCATTCCTATTAGAGGACAGGGGAGGGAGAGGCCCCCAGTCTCCATGCACAGCAGTAGGGACTGGACCAGTTCCTGTCCATCTTCCATGACTCTGGTCCAGTCACTACGGCCTTGACCAGTGCAGTTAGCACAAGAGCACAATTCCAGCCCTTGACCATATCTCCTCATCCCCAGTGTCCCCATATGGTGCCTTGACCATATCTCCTCATCCCCAGTGTCTTAAACACAAGTGTGGGTCCACACAGCATCCTTGCGGAACAGTGTGGAACAGAAGTGGGAGCAGTGAACTCCAGCCTCACATCCCAGCTCTGCTCCTCAGTAGCTGTGTGACCTTCAGCATGATCCTTGACCTCTTTCTGGATTTAATGGATTAATCCTTGTAAATTCTCAGTGCCATGTCTAGCTTCTGGCATGCAGTCAGTTCCGGAAATGTTTGCTGTTATTAGTCAGCATGGTGACTTATATTATCAAGTCTGGTCTTTGAAACAAAGTAGTGGGGTTCTAAAGCCTGGCTTACCCCAGCAGTTGAGGAAATGAGGTGGCCAAAGGCTACTTAGAAGCCAGCTAGTGGGCACTGAGGGGGCCGATCACTGGGTCGGTATGAGAAGCCATTCTTTGTGTCTCTAAGCAAATTCCAGGACAGCAAACATCTTCTGGGCCAGCAAGATAGCTCCACTGGGAGCACCCAAGAGTGGGACATCCAAGAGGGGCTAGAGCTCTCCTCCCTGGGGGTTCCTGGGAAGACCTGAGTCCATGGCCCTCACTCGAGACTTGGAGCTTCTGGTGTCACGTCCTGAGTCCCTCCCTCCTCTCCCAGGAGCATCCCTGTGGTGCAGACGCTTCGGACCACCGCCCTGACCACTGCCTGTGCGGACCACTCAGACCAGCGTGTGGGTTACCTGGAGCATGTGGTGGCTCGCATCTCTATTTCCCACCCACGCAGGGGAGACCTCCAGATCCACCTCATTTCTCCCTCAGGAACCAAGTCTCAACTCTTGGCAAAGAGGTAAGGCCAGGCTGGCCTAGTGGGGCAAAGGCTGGGGATTGTCAGGAGGGCCTATCCAGCCCCAGGTCACAGTGTCCCTACAGGGCCCTCCTCCCCAGGGCAGGTTGGTTCTTCAGCAGCTTCCTCTTGGAGATACTCAGATGTATACCCCACCAACCTGAAACCTGGCCTTCAAAACCGTCCTTCCTGGAAAACTTTTGTTTCCAGGCAGGAGAGATAAGGGTTTGGAGAGATTTATGGAATTCTGGCTATGACTTAATTGCTCTTCAAAGTGCACCAGAGATCATTTTTCTCACATTCACTCGGCATCTGGAGTAAAAGCTTGTATTAGGGAAGGACTGCTTTGCCCGCTGAAGCTTCTGCACGGTTCTCCAGTTGTGGGGTGTGCTCTTGAACTTGTGTGGGCAGGAGGCTCTGCTCCATGGGAGACTGGCTCACTTGGGGTGCTCGGTGGCTGCCCTCTACAGCCTTCTCACCCATGTGCCTGAGAGGGTCCCACTCAGGACCAATAAACAGCCTCTGAACTCTGGGGAATCACATAGGCTTTGTGGAGAGCCATGGAGCCATTTCTTCCACAAAGTCAGAAACAAGAAAGAAGTACTTTGATGCATTTGTGTTGCTTGCAGGTAACTGGAGTGAGGGGATTAATGGGAGGTTGGGGGAGGGGGCAAGGGGGACTGGGGCTTCCTTCCAGCCCCTTCTAGCTAAGAGGCAGAGGGAAAAAGAAAGGTTTCAGGACAAACCAGCACTTCCAGCTTCTCTTGAAAAACAGCTGGCAAGTGTGTCCCCCCCCCCCCCCCCCCCCC